GGTTCTTTATAGCTACCATATTGCAGGTTTCGTGTAATTTTTTCCTCATTTCTACTGGATCATAAACTCTTCTTGTTCAAAAATCACACCTTATTACAATATACTTCTTCCATGTTGCCTAGTAGATGACAATAAATGTCTGTTGGTTTTGAAAAAAAAAAAAAACAGTGGATTATTACTCAGTAGTGGGCTTTTTCTTTCTTCCAATTGTTGGTGTAACACACAAGAGCATTTGGTTTCATACCACCGAGAAATGACTTGAGGAAGAGAAGGTAAAAACAACTCACTCGCCTGAGGACTTAAATATCTTGCAGGCATCATCATTTGCCAGAAAAGAAACTGGATTCAAGTGGCAGTCACTCCTTACTTTCAGCCGGGGCCTCTATACACATCTGGTTTCATCAGCATCAACATGCCACAACTGCGTCCTGAGAGAGGATCAGAGATGGACTATCTATACCCCTTGTCTCAAAGCAGCCAGGGTCAAGAGGTGGGGGTCACCTGCTTCCTGAGGAGAGAGACAGATTTTCTGGCCAGCGATCTCTGCACAAACGTCCTCCCACAGCCACTTGGGCACTGCAGTTCTGTCACCTCCCTGCCACCGGCCTGCAGCAGCAAATCACATCTCTCCCTTGCTCTAATGTCCCTTCCAGCTACTGCAAGACTCATTTCCTTTAAATACTGCCTTTCCACTTTCCACTCTTAAGTTTAAAATCTTTGACTGCCAAACTTCAGGAGGGCTCACTGCACCTAGCACACTTTCTTTTTTTAAACTGCTTTCCAACACCCTTCAGTCTGGGAGAGGGTCCCATCACCGCTCCACAAAACATGCCATACTTATTCATCTCTACCTCTGGTTTCCTTTCTGTGGTTTCTCTTGGTAGAAACCTAGCCCCTAAATCTAGAAAACTTTGTCTTCCATGGACCAGCTGAAGATACTATTCCTTTCAAGAGCTTGCCTGGACTCCTACAGCCCTTGCAAAGTGCCCTTTCCTCTGTTCTCCCCAAAGCAGATGACCTCCCAAATCATTTGGCTTTTGGCCATCTTGTGTTGTCAGTGCTGCCTCTTGTCACTCCCCGCAAAAAGTAGAAATTCCTTGTACAAAGAGCCCTCCTTCTTTTCTCTCATCTCTTCTCTCCCACCCATGCAGCCCACTGATGAGGCCCCCACAGGAAGCTCAGGTACCCATTCCCAAGAAACAAATGGTGTACAGCCATCATTTTTCCAGATCCATCATCCTGGAAACTCAATGCTTCAAGTCTATGAAAGGTCCAGTCTGTTTCTCATATCCCTGCAGGTTTTGCAAAGAGCAGAGCTGAGGTACAGGCACTTCATTCTCAGCACACTGGCCAGAAGCTCCAGTTTGATCATTCTACTGCTTCAGCTGCCAGGACAATGCTACTGGGAAATACCTTAGGTAGAGATGTTACCTTGACAACTAGAAAGCTTTCCATAACCTCTCACTTGTTTTACACTGAACTTGATACCCAGTGAACAGCACAAGATAAAATTCCTTTAGTTACAACTGGCCATAACCCGGTTACTTTATTTCAGTTAAATCTTTTAATTTTTTCACAAGAAAATCTACATAGAAAAGTGCTTTTAGAATTATAATTTATATCTGTATATGTATATGAATCATGTATGTAGGCTACAATTATGTCTCTAGTTGGCCTGTGCAAAGTCGACCTCAACTTGACAACTGTATTTTTAGAAGGCTGAAATGACAGTGATGCCTGTTTACTAAATACTGCGATGGGCTAATTTGACGGCTGAGTACTTTCAAATCTTTCTACTCATTATTGTTATTTTTAAAACACTTATACATCTCAAAAATAGAAATTATCTATTTTAAATGTTGATTTAAAATGCGCGGTAATTCCGTGAAATTGCATAATGCAAAGAGGCAAATAATACATAGTTCTTTATCAGAATAGTTCTGTTCCAGAAAAATAGTTTTCAGGTCACTTTTTTTCTGATGTGAAACATGAAGAATAATCATTTTTGGATACAGAATTTTAAATCTATTCTGCTATTTGCAAGAGCGAAATTAAGTACCAAGCAGTCAGATTACCCTCCAGCTTCCCGAAATTAAATTCCACGACACAGTTTATAAAGACCGGGCCCTCAGGGTACGACCCTTGCTTTTTTTCCACAGAGCCAGCTCTCCTTAACCGAGTCTAGTTATGGCAGGTTGAGGAAACTTCTTAAGTTTTCTTGGAAAATGTATTAAAATATTCAGTGGTTGCATTAACCTGTTCTAGAAATGATGTTGAAAATTATCATGTGAGTGTAAGGCATTTGATTATGTACTATGGAAATAGCCAAACTTCTCAGTTTAGGTAACCGATACCCAAACGATCTTGGCCTAATAAGGGAAATTTTCATTTTCCTAAAATATTCATTATAAAGAAAAGCACAAAAATCCTATTTAAAAAGCTTATCTTTATTTTTTGACTTATTTCTCTACTTAATTTCAATCTACCATAGCCTTAGACAATAACATAAAGAGTTTGCAATTTATATGCTATCAATTTCTCTGTGCTTTGAGACAGTTTATGATAGTTTTTCTACCCTTCGACTCTTCTAGCTCAATATTGGATTTACTATGATCTGGGAAAGGAGTTAATTGCACTGACCTTTGATTTCATCACCCTCCAGAGTACATTTTTAACATGAATTCTCTCTGTTAATCTCTACCCTTCTATAAAACTCATAGTGACTCATCATTTTTACTGTACACGGAATGGTCCATATTTTTTATACCTTTCTCTATTCCACGAGTTCCTTAAACTCTGCTAGAGATAAGACTAGATGAATGAATCCAAGAATCTTCTGTAAAAATCTCCACCTCTATTCTTTAAGGGTACCTGGGTAGGAAGCCAAATTAAATTTTTTTCTGATTATTCTTTACACCTGATTGGTTCAGTCCATTATTCGACCAATTCAGTGAAAGAAATATCTCGTGGTTTATTCTTCAGCATTAGATAGGCAAACCAATGGGCCTGTCCCATTGTCTTATGGGTTTGGCTTTAAGGGTCCTTGGGCTTTCAGCCCAGCCTAGGGCATAGAACCTACTCAGGAAGGCTCTTCCATGTGAAAACATAACAGTTGTTCTGACTTCCAGGCTCTCGCCTTGTAACAACAGCTTCCACACCTAAGATCAGCCATGCCCCATTTCTGCCCTGGCCCCCTTCCTGTATTGAATGGCAGGCCCTCAATTTGGCCCATGGCCTCCTCTGGGTTAGCCCTCCCTTTCTGTCCATAAAACCACATTTGATGGCTTTGTGCCTCTTGGAGAGGAAGCACAGGATGTGCCTCTGGAAAGCCTGGGGCCTTTGCATACTGGAAACAGGAGTTTAGCCAGGTGGTTTCCCGAGACCTGATCCTTGACGACTCTAAGAATGGACCACTTAGGTATGTCAATGAGAAATCCTACAAGAAAAGAACAAGCAATGCGAAGGTGGGGAATATCTTTCTGCCACTGACCTGAGTGCTACACTAAAAGGAAAGCAACAGGTTGTTATAATCCCTTTGTAAAGTTTTCTAAGTAGATTCTTAGTGTAAAGTTTACACTAAGTAGATCCAAGAATTCCTCGTTGACGTTTCCACAATCTTCCTCAACAGGGCTGAAATGTATACACCAAACATAAGTCACAAGTAAAACTCAATGCCTTCAGATATTAGAATCCATTATAAAATGTCTTCATTGTTATAGCACTTTCTCAGTTAAAATTTAAGATTGGTGAATTAATGACTAATCACTGTTAATTAATAATGGAATAAATGAGGTGGATTTTATTACTTGAGTTAGCTGTCTTAAAAGAGCCTTCTTAGTAACTATTGTAAAAAATGAAATTTCCTTATCAATAAATTACTTTCCACATTATAATATCCACATAGAGTTAATGGACATTCTTTAAAGTGATACTTTATTCAGTTCGGGGGTCTGAATACAGGTTAACAGAGAATAATGTTGGTTTCTATGTTAACTTTTAAATAAATAAAGGACAGCATTTTAATGATAGGAGCTAATAGAGGGGGTAATATAAGTTACTCAAGTTATTTAAATACATTTTACTTAATCTTTCTCTCAGTTTTCTTATTTGCAAAATGGGAAGAGTATCTATTTTGTAGGTTGTCAGAAAGACCCGAACACAAGGTAGGCGTTCCATAGGTTAATTGCTATCATTCTTTCACCATGACAACTATAGACCATGGCCACTATGAAACTGCATCAGTGGTGCTTCCTGACTGGTTAACCAATGCACGGTCACCCGAATGAGTTTAACTGGTGGCATAGACCTTTGCAGGCCTGTGGGTGAAGGGAGAGTCATCTTTGCCACTTCTCTCCACCCCTTGCCTGAGCTCAGGAGGCAAGATGAAGGTCAGTTCTGCTAACATGAAGATCAGAACAGCCTCTGAATCTAATTATGTGCTAACTGGTGATAATTCAAAATAATTTGCATTTTCTGAATAAATACCCCCTTATGGGAAAATGGTGAGGACCAGAAAAATGCTGGCTGAGCAGCAACAAGGGAGTCAGTTGTGTGATGTGAAATTTATCTAAAATTGTGAAATAATGGATAAACCATCGAGAGAGAGAGAGAGAGAGGTGTTTAGCAGGTATTATCTTTTCACTTGTATTATACACATTACATACTGTCAGCATTACTTCTCACAAAGAATTCAGAGACCTGAAGTCCTTTACATTCTGATTAGAGACCATCACTTTTGAAAATGCTAAAATGAGAAATCTCAGAGATACCCAAGTCACAATCACTGTTACACTCATCTGGCAATAGCAGAGCCTTGCAAGCAGGGACCATAGTCTGCATGACCCAGTGCAAAATGCAAACGGAGGGCTCACCATATAATAATAAATAAAGATTAAACAACAAATAAAAAAATGTACTAAGAATTTTAAGACAGCGACAAAACAGCATTAAATCCAGTGAGAGACCCTTTTAGGGTTGTCACTATCAGAAAAGCAGATGCAGATTGACAGGTGGCCCCCATTTGCTGGAGCGATGCACCATCAATGTGCTACTTACCACTGTCACTGCATCATTCAGCAGAGATTCTCCAAAAACCAGAATGTAGAGTTGCTCATTGACGTGAATGTTCTCAAAGACGGCAAGCACAGCCACAGGGTCCACAGCTGAGATTAAGCTGCCGAAGAGTAGGTTCTGGAGCAGAGTGATGTCACTCAGGCCAAAAGCTTCAATCTGGCAGATACCAAACAAGGACACCCCAATGCCAATGGAATTCCAAAGTGTCCCGACCACAGCATACCAAAATATGGTGCCAAAGTTCTCAAAAAATGGGCGAGTGGGCATGAAATAGCCTGCGTCAAGCACAATGGGTGGAAGGAGATATAAAAAAAACACGTCCGTCTTCATCGCAGGGGGCGACTTCTCATCGACTCCAAAAATAATCCCCCCTAACAGCAGTCCGACCATTATGAGAAGGCAGCTCTCAGGCACTATCGTGGGCAACTTGTGATAGAGATGGAAGCCTGTTCAGAAAAAAATAAAAACACTAAATTTGTGTTTCAGGAATTATGGAGAAGACAAATTGTTCTCTTTGATGGGACCACTAAGTCCTATTTCAAAATCTCCCCTGTCAGCATAATTGGATACAGACTGGCTTTACAGATTATGATGTAAAAGTCTGATGATCACCTTAAAACTATTCACAAAGTACATTCAGTTACAAACTTAAATTTGAATCAGAAGTAGATTGGCATAGGTACACAAAATCTATACAGTACAGATTTTTGTCTAAATTCCAATTAAGTTTTTTTAAATAAGACAATGCAGTTTTATATTTGAAGCAATATTGTGATTTCCATTTTTAGATGTAGCATCTCATGTCATCCTCATAAAAATCCTAAAAAGTAGGTAAGGCAGATATTTTCACCCCTTTTTTAATTTAAGTGGAAATGGAGGCTTGAAGAGATATAGAGTCTTGCCAAGGTGGCCAGATCTCAGGCTAGTTTCTGGATTACCTCTGTCATCTCTGGTATTGAGAAGAGTTTGACTTATTTAATATGTCGGATTTCAGACTCTTTCATTTGGAATGCTGAATATGTTTAATTTTTCAGATAGCTGCTTATTCAGAGGCAACCAAATCAATTCATTAAAGGTACTTCGGTAACCACTAAACGAAGGATATAAACTCGCCATGATCTCCAATCTCATGGATTACCTCTGTCATCTCTGGTATTGAGAAGAGTTTGACTTATTTAATATGTCGGATTTCAGACTCTTTCATTTGGAATGCTGAATATGTTTAATTTTTCAGATAGCTGCTTATTCAGAGGCAACCAAATCAATTCATTAAAGGTACTTCGGTAACCACTAAACAAAGGATATAAACTCGCCATGATCTCCAAGAGCTTCCAATCAAGGCAAAGGGTGAGATGTGTTTAGGATTTGCTCCAACACAAGGCACCAGGTAACAAAGCCCCAGTCAAGTGCTGTGAGAACAGAGCAGGAAGATACCTGCTACAGACACTGTGGAGAAGGCAGTGCCTGGAAGGGTTTCATGGGAAAACAGATAGCCATGGAATTCATGAGACTATCTCAGGAAGTGAAGAAATGGAGGAAGATACCTATCTCCTAATTGGCGGTGACGCCCAGGGTGGCTTTCATGAAGAGAACATACAAGAGGGAGGCCTGTTGCAGGAAAAGGGGAGGAAGATACGGTCACACCAGCACATGGAGCCATGAGGAACATGAAGGTACCTCGCACATAGGGATAACTTGACAGGGCTTAAGTGAAGACAGTTTTTATTTGCAAGGCGACAACAGCATGTCATCTTGAAGGCACGTCATAACATTTTAGAATTAAAGCGACATATGAAAATTATCTGAATCATAGGAAGATAATATTAAAATAACAGCATAAGTCCATAGGAACTTACAATCACAGAGTTTGAATAAGCAAATCCTTAGAAGCCTACAAACCATACTCTAAGTCATCGCGTGAAATAGTTTGTGAACCAAAAATAAAAAAAGTCATCATTATAATTTGGAGTGATTCAAAGAATTAATTTCTAAATAATTAAATGAACATATTTACGTTAGCTATTCAAATCATCTCTCCAGCTTTGATTATTTTATTATTCATATTATAGCAGACTCCAATAATTGTTGAGGAATATACATTCAACTGGTTTTCTTTACCCAGGACCTCTTGCCTATTGACCTCTCCGTTAAACAGAGAAGTTAAAAGAAGAAGTCCACTGAAAACCACACCTTTGTAACCTCTCCTCACCTGAATTTTGTTTCTGCAAGCAACTTTCCATGTATGATAAGGACGTGCCAAAACAGCCTCCCTGGTTCCCTAGGTTCTGTGAGCAATCAGTTCCTTTCTGGAATGCACCATTCCAAGGCCCAACCTGTGTGCTGGAGGCCCTATCAGCTGCCATCTGACAACTGCCTCTGGCTTAGGGGCCAGCCTCCTACACTCTCTACTTGTGGCTGTGGATAAGTTACTAAAAGGCTGAGGCCCTATTTGCTTACCTGTAAAATAGGGACGGATGCACCCACCACATAAAGAGCTGTAACAATAACTGAGCTGTGGGCTGCACGGCACGGACCACAGTGCTTGCAATGTCACATATGCCCCCAAATTTTGGTTTTCTCTCCCTCCTCTACATGAAAAAGCAAGAGAAAACAGGTCTAGAGAAATGCACAGAAGCCAGCCACAGGATCCTCTGCAGGCAAACTGAAAAGTAGGGGAGGCCTGTTTTTGGCAATTCCTACTTTCTCTTCTTGACTTTTTCCCCTCTTTTGCTGCCACCCAGACTCAGGTAGCCCATGCTCCCATATGTGGGTGCCATTTCTGTGTTGAAAAGAGTTCCTTATTCCTAAGAATGGACCGTGGGAAACTAGAATGCTGGGATAAGGGAGGAAACAGAGACTCCTGCAATATCTTGTGTAGACCAACGCAGGCCATGCTCAGGAGACATGAGCGATCGTGACCTGAAGCCCAAGTGATCAGGACACCACCAAGGAGAAGCGAGTGAAATGCAGCAACATAAATGCAGGACGCAGTTAGACAGAAGGGCCGCTAGGACACAGGGATGAAGGAGACGTGGGGGGAGCAAGAAAGGGAAAATCAGGTAACAGCAAATAGCAGAAAGGAACAGCAGCAAACAAAGGACATTTATTTAAGAAGTCATGTGTTCATATTTTGAAAAGGCTGTTCTCCTTTCTTTTAGGAATGCTTAAATCTTTCACAATTGGTCTGAGTTACCCTGCCCTGAAACTGGAGAGTAGTTTGAATCTGCCCAGTTGCTCCAGGGACAAGAAGAGGTTAAATGAAGGGCAGTCACAGGAGATCTGAGAAGTGTTTTTCTGGTGACTGGGGTAGAGACACTGAATTTCATAAGGCACTTTTTGGGGCATAAAAGGTGTTGGGCATCAGCGTCTATGCTTTTCTGAATGACAAGCATCACACTTATCAGCAAAATAATGAGTCAAAACAAAACAAAAAAAGCTTCTTAAATTTCAGTGTTCATAGAATGAAACAAACTAATAAATGAACATTTACAAATGTTTATGTCTGTATGGCTCTCCTCCACCCCAAGTATTTCTTGAAAAGGAAATGAACTTGAATAAACAGAATTTGCTTTCCCAAGGTCATTATTCCACCTAATATTATTGAAAAATATATCAATTATTAGGACAAAAATCAAATGAAGTTTTTGATGATTTTTACAAGGCTGAACATGAGATACTTCAAGTACCATCTACGGTTTAGTCTGGGGATCAGCTAACTCTTTTTCTGTAAAGGATCAGATGGTAGATATTTTCAGCTTGCAGGCCACACCTCACACTGCCCTTATACAGAAGGAGCCTGAGGTAACACCTCAATGAATGAGCGTGGCCATGTTCTAATGAAACTTCCTTTATGGGCACAGAAACTAGAATACAATTTTATTTATCACGGAATATCATTCTTCTTTAGATTTTGTTTAACCATTTAAAATGTCTTAAAAGCCATTCTCAACCCACAAACCAGGCAGAATCAGGCTGGGGTCATATTTGGCTGTGGTTCACCTTCCCCTGGTTTAATTTGTTCTTTGTATGTCCTGCTAACTTCTATTTATAGTGTTTGAAGCATTGTGCTTGTGTCATTTACTTTTGACTTCTAGTCCATAAAGGTCTGTGGAAATGGACACTTTATAGTTTTTTTTTTTTTTTTTAATTGCAATAGAAATTCAATTTGCAGGAAGGGAAACAGTGTTAGAGGTCTCTTGTACATAATACATAGTTAAGACCTTCCATCTTGGACTGAACCTATTTCAATTCCTCTCTGCATTTAATTTTGAAATTAACTGAGCTGAAAATCTAAAGATATATGCATAACTAAGAGCAATGTAATTAATTCACTACATTTTCTCATTATGCTTAAAATAATCTTTGTCAAATCTGGGAAGAAAGCAAAGTGAGAAAGAACACAGGAAGTTTCCAGATACCAGGATCCACAAAAGAGTAACAATGTAAAAATGCGAATCAGAGAAATCCACCACCACCACAAAAAAAAAAAAAAAAAAAAATCCAGATCTAATTAACAAGTAATGCGAGAAAGGGGGCACTAGCAGAGGTGAATAGTGACAAAGTCCTCTAGGAGAGAGAGCACTAACTCTAGGTGAGGACAAACACAAATTTTCTAATAGATGCTCCATATTCTGAGAGACCTTAAAGAAAAAAAATGACATTTATTAGATCCATAAATATTTGCCAAGCCTGTGTTAAATTAAGTAGGGAACTAAGTTAGTGCTGGCAGTCACTGAAGATGACTGACCCAGTACTAGCTTCCCGGACTGGTCATTCTTGAAGCAACTCTGGAAACACTGGACTTACAGTAAAGAGTGGTCTAAACCGAGTTGAACTTGTTTGAGTGGGGGGGAGGGGGGGAAGGTAAATATTTATGGAATACATTAAACTTGTTTTAAGTATTTATTTAAAAAAAATAAAAAAGTTAATTCAGCCTGAAGTGCCAATTTTATGTATCTCAATTCACATAGCAACCAAATACACTTTTTTAAAAACAGAAATACAATAAGCAATAGACAGAAACAGAGAAAATAAGAAGAAATGCCATTTTGATCAGGCCAACAAGCTGCTCTCAACTGCATGATAACTTTAGTGGACAAAGACTGAATAATAGAATTTAATTCAAAAAATAAATGGAATCTAAACTGAGTAAATAAATTTAAAAAGCAAACAAATAAACAAATAATACATAAAATGAATAGAATAGAATTCAATAAATAAAGCAAAATTAACTGATCTATGTCAATAATTTCTTAACTTGTGAATGTGGATTTGTCATAACACTTAGTTCTATGCTGGGACTGAAAAATACATTTAACATTTACTCCATCAAAAATACTGGGACTATGAATATAGAGGTTTTACAAATGTTCTCCTTATGAGGTTTGCAAGGGACTAGCAATAATAAAATAATTGGAAAAAAATGAAAAAATAAATGAAACAGTAA